TAAAAACACAGCAAAAAATCAGACAATCCGAGCGTCGGGCGGTCTCCTACCATCATCAAGATTCCCAAAAAGGGCGCGTTCGGCAGAGGGAGGTCGGAGGTCGGCATCACAGCGGGGGTCACGAGGGTCACAGGGCACAGTGGGAGAGAGGGAGGAGGTGGAGGAGGAGGCCGCGGCTGGGGGTACGGAGGAGACATCAGAGGTCTACACAACCCCTCCGCCCCACCACAACCACAACCACCACCACCACCACCGGGCTTTTCCGGAATCAACAACAAGCTTGAAAGCATTATCTCTGATTATTTTGATTGCCTATCCAAACACGCTTTGTTCTTTTTTTTTCCTTGAAAAAACTGTGATGATGAAACAATTCTGAATTTCAAGTCGATTAGGACAACTTTCACACCGGTATCTTCACAAACTGACGTCAACACAAAGTTGTTGTTTTTTGGTTGATACTTGAAAACCAATAAAACAATCTTAAATTCAAATCAGCAGGGATCTTTTTAGCTTTTAGTAAGTGTTTTACGGCACTTGCAACACAATAAGGTCATATAAGAGTAATAAGAACCGAGGATTACAGGTGTTACAAGAGAGTGACAAATATAAAAAAGGAGGAGAGATAGGGACGATGGATATGTTTGCCACGAAAGAAGAAGCAAACCACACCAGAGCACCCGCCCACCACCCACGTAGGGATCTTCATATCAGTACCTCCACAACTGACATAAAAAACAACTTGTTTTTTAATTTTTAGACACTCGATATTGACTTGATAACTGAGAAACAATTCAAAATTCAAATCAACAAGGGTTTCCACAGTGCTATCCCTGCCACTGACAACACAAGAAACTTTTTTCTTTTAAAAACATTCTTAACAACCCCAAGCATTTACAAACAAGACCCTTGTCCTGTAGTGCACTGACAACATACGCAACTTTTCTCTTTTTTGACACATTCTTAACAACCCCAAGCATTTAGACACAACACGTGGGTGGTTGGCGGGTGCTCTGGCGTGGTTTGCTTCTTTTTTCCTATGAAACGTCTATCGTCCTTATCTCCCCTTCTTCTTTTCTAATGTAAGTTACTCTCTTGTAACACCTCTAATCTTCTGGCGCTCATATGACTTTATGAAGTTGCGTAAAACCTCAACTAAAACTAACACTAAAGACACAACACGGCTGTCCTGTAGTACACACAACACGTCGTAAAACTTTCACCAAACTGACACACACTACACACGACAATCTCTCCCTGAGGAGAAAAAAAGTGCGACAGCGACACGCTGAGCCCTTCTACTTCTACACACACAACTGCTAGCGACCCCAATGGTTATTCAAGAGCGTGAAATCATTCAAGACTCCTTTTTTTTTTCTTCTGCTTATAAGCAGCGAGTGAGAGAAGACGACACCTAGGCTGTTGATGAAATGAGTCAACACCTCGCTTATTAAAAGATTGCACCACATTCAAGAAGCGGGTTATCATCAGCACCATCGCCACCATCATCATCATTATTTCTCGTTTTATGGTTAGTTAGTTTAGTAAGTGTTTTACGGCACTAGCAACACACTAGTGTCATATAAGTGCCGAAGACTAGAGGTGTTACAAGGGAGTAACAAGCACAAAAAGAAGGAGGAGAAATAAGGACGATAGATGTTTGATAGGAAAGAAGGAGCAAACCACATCACAGCACCCGCCAACCACCCACTATTATGTTTATAAGTCTTATAATCATTCTTATATTATATTATCATTACTATGGTTATAAATCTTATAATTATCATCACTATCATCATCATTATTCTTATTATTATTATTTTAAAAACAACAAGAAATAAATGAGACGCCACAGAAGTCCACGACCTTGACCTACAAACAACCACCGGACAGACCAATAACGTTTCCTTTGTTCATCATAAAGAGTTTAAAAGACCATCGCAACTGCATGATAAGAACCGAAACGACTTTTATCTTTCGCTGAGAGGGACTTCGTTCAAGTCTCACAACACCTGTCTTTTTGTTTCACTTATTATTCTTAAGTAAGTAAGTACGTAAGTAAGTAAGTACGTAAGTAAGTAAGTAAGTAAGTAAGTAAGTAAGTAAGTAAGTAAGTAAGTAAGTA